ATGATGATGAAGATTAATCAGTCATCCTGTTTAAATCTCACCTTTGTTAAAATTCATAACAATGAATATTTATTTTTATAAAAATTATTTATAATGAATTAAAACCAAATTTTAAGAAAAAAACATTCCTCTCCATTATACCTTCGGTAGAAATGATTCCTTTCTAAAGAAAATAAAGCATTAAAAATTAAATAACAACAATCTTCCTGTAAATGTTATTTAATAAATTTTTCAATTTTAATATATATAAATATAGAATATAGTTTAAATATATATTAACATAAAATATTTATCAGGTCATCCCATAAGTTCTGTCCGAATTTTGAATAAAGAAAACAGTTTGACCAAATGTTACATTTAATTACAGATTCAATCAACAATGTATTTTCCCTGATTATCTATGACTTCCTTCCATCTATTAACAAGTTTACTAATTCCATTACTGTAAAATTCTTTTGGCTTTGATTCGAAGAACTCACAAATGTCAGTTTTAACCTCTTCCTGTGTTACAAAAGCTGTTTCTTCCAAATGATTCTGTAAGCTACGAAACAAATGGTAGTCTGAAGGAGCAAGATCAGGAGAATAAGGTGGATGAGGAATTTTCTCCCAACCAAGTTCTTCGATCTTTTGTGACGTGATTCTTGCTGTGTGGGGTCGCGCATTGTCCTGATGAAACATCACCTCTTTTCGATTCACTAGAGCAGGTCTTTTTTTCCTCAAAGCTTGGTTCAAACGCTCTAATTGCTGACAGTATATTTGAGCATTAATTGTTGCATTAGGTGGTAAGAATTCAAAAGTGGATTATTCCTTGGCGATCCCACCAGATTGAAAGAAGAACCTTTTTGCCCATGAAGTTCCCTTTCGGCTGTGGCTGGGGTCCTTCCCTTTACCAAGCCACTGTCTACGACGCTTAACATTTCGATAAAAGATCCATTTTTCGTCGCCAGTCACAAGTCTATCCAAAAAAGGTGAAACAAGTTGGCGAGAATGGAGAGAAGAGCAGATGTCAACTCGGGATTTGAGGTTGTTTTCAGACAATTCATGAGGCACCCATTTTCCAAGTTTAGGAATTTTCAAGTTGTTGAAGATGACGATGAACAGTTGTATGGTTTGAACTGAGAACCACTGCCAATTCCTCAACTGATAAAGCAGGATTTTCTTCAAGGGCTGCGTAAGAAGCTTTTCATCAAACTCAACTGGACGTCCGGTTCGATCTTCATCTTCAAGGGTGAAATCTCCACCTCTGAATTTTCAAACCATCTTCTGCAAGTTCTTTCATTCACACATTCCTCTCCATAAACTGAGTGAATGTTTCAGCCGCTTCAGCTGCTGAGTTTCCTTTCTTGAACTCATAAAGCATTATGTGCCCAAATGATTCTTGGGTCTTCCATGTTAGCAGGGTTTTAATCAAACAAAATTTAATTTTATTTCCTCAAATAAAATTTGATCAGTTTAAACTCCTCCCTTAGCCTTTGAAGGGTAGTAAGACTAATTTCGACCTCCTCGCTAGCTTCACTATCACTTCCTAGTAGTTCTGGTTCCACTAGTGTGGTCCTCCTCAGTTTTTTCTGTTTCATCTCTATGCCGCTCCCTTTCCAGTCTTCTATCTCAACTAACTTTATGTCATTTGCGTGTACTCTTTTCACTTTCCCTGTCAGTTGATCCCATATCACAAAGGACACTGGGCCTGTCTGTTCCACTATTCTATAATAGGGGCTCCACCTCTGGTGCAGTTTACCGTCCCTCAGGTGTATTTTATAATACACCGGGTCACATATTTGGAAAGAAACCTCTCCTCTATTCTTATTTATCCTATCATTTCGCTTTTTCTGGGCTCTTTTTCTGAATTCTTCTCCTCACCTGTGTAAAGATTTTGTGCTGCTGCTGCTCTAAAATTATCCTATGATGGTCCTCCCCTAGGTATTTCCTCCTAGGCCTTTAAGACCACGTCCCGGCCATATACCAAATAATAAGGTGAAAACTTGGTCATTTCGTTCACCGAGAATCTCACAGCTGCTAAAGCTTGGGTTAAAAACAGATCCCAATTCTCCCTATTATGCTCTGCTAATTTAGCCAGAACATCAGCAAGAGTCTTATGGAATCTCTCCACCTTAGCGTTACTCTGGGGATGGTATGGGGAGGTGGTTATGTGTTGGATATTCAGTTCTCTCAACGTCTCCCTCATAAGCTGATTTACATTTTCCGAAATTGTTCGGGAGCCCCATACCTGGGAAATATCTCGCCAAGTATTATATCTGACACCGTTCGCGCCTTCTTATCAGCCTGTCAGCCAATCCACAAAACTTAATATGTAACAATTCCTGCTATCAGTTGGCCCATAAGGGTCCGAAATGTCTAAACTCATTTTCTGGAACGGGTAGTGGGGAATATCTGTCTCTAAAACCGGGGCAGCCCTACTTCCTCTACTCTGCACTTGGCATGTTACACATTTCTTTACATAATCTACAACATCATTAAACAACTTGAGCCAATAGTAGTTCCTCATTATCAACCCATACGTCTTGTCAATCCCCATGTGTCCCAACTTTCTATGGCACTGATCTAAGATCTCAGACCTCAACTTTTCGGGTTTCACCATCTTCAAGCTTATTTCCTTCTTTTCATGATGATGTATTGTATTACCTGAAAGGTAATACATCATCCTGCAATACATATTTGGAGGTATTTTCTGCCTTTACCCTTGACCTAATGGCTGTTATGTCACTATCCCCTTGACTTTGTCTAACAATATCTATCCAGTGGGGACCCGTAATGGTCTCTGTTTCACCCGCCTCCTGATCTTCCCAATTAGGTCTCCTTTCCAACCCGTGTGAGTTAATTACATTAATCTGGAAGGCCTTATCGTCCACACCTGGCTCTAACTTGATGGACTCCCTTTCCAACTGTTTCGGAATCATCGATAGCAAATCAGCACAGGTGTTATCCCTCCCGGCTAGGTACTCTATTTTATAGTTGTCCCCACTTAGCTTCAGTGCTCACTGTTGGATCTTTTTGTTTGTCCACTCTGTCTCTAACAGGTATTTGAGGGGCTGGTGGTCTGTCTTAATGGTAAATACTGCCCCACTCAGATAATAGTCCAACTTCTGCACAGCGTACAGGATGGCGAACGCCTCCGTCTCTATCACCAGCCATCTTTGTTGGGTCTCGGAAAGCCGATGAGAAGGGAAATAGATTGGTACCTCTTCAGGCACCCATGGCACGGGTCCATCCGTATCGGGACAGGGTTGCATGAGTACTGCTCCGATGCACCTCTCACTAGCATCAGTGTACAGCACCATGGGCTTACCTAAGTCTGGGTACGCTAACAAGGGCACAGCAGTCAGCTGATCTTTTAAAGCCTCAAATGCACGCTCGCAATCCTCCTGGCGTATTTCTTTGTCAGGGCTATCAGAGGACCCGCCAACCGGCTAAATGCGGGTATGAACCTCCTATAATACCCTATGGCTCCTATAAAGCCCCTAATCTCCCTTACAGTTTTCGGCGCAGGCATGGCCCTTATTACCTCTACCTTGTCTAGGTCGGTCTTTATTCTGTCTTTATTTATCATGAACCCTAGGTAGTTTGTCTCCTCTCTTAGAAACTGACATTTTGACAGCTTCAGCTTCAAGCCATGCCTTCTTAGGCGGTCGAACACCCGCTGCAGGTGTTCAAAATGCTCCTTAGGTGATTTTGAAAAATACGATGATATCATCTAGATATGCCATGGCAAACGTTTCCATGCCATTCAACACTATGGACATGAGCTGACTAGACACACCCGGGGCATTTGCCAACCCAAACGGCATAACCCTAAAATTGAAAAGACCCATGTGACATGTGAACGCGGTCTTTTCTTGGTCCTCCTTGTTCAGGGCCACCTGCCAATAACCCGATCTCAAATCCAAGGTGGAAAAACACTTAGATTTCCCTAGGAGAGCCAAAATGTCATCAATCAAGGAAAGAGACAATGCTAGCAGTTTTGTAATCGCGTTCAGCTGGCGAAAATCTACACAAAACCTGTGCCCTCCATCTTTCTTTTCCGCTATCACTATAGGGAAGCTCCAGGGAGATTTGGATCTCTCAATTATCCCTGAGTCCATCACCTCCTCTACTAATTTCCTTTTGTGGATTGGGGTTCTATATGGCCTTAACTTGATAGGTGGGGGTGGTCACCGGTGTCTATCCTCATCTCCACTGTCTCTGTCTATTCTAGCTCCTTATCTGTCATTGCTATTACCTCCTGGTTTCTACTTAGCAAACCCCTTAATTCTCTTCTATAACATTCAGGGACTGTTATGTCCTCGTCCCTCAATTCGCTAATCTCTGTCTTGTTCCCGGACCTATTTTCGTTTCTTATCCTCGCCTGTTCAACTTCTCTTACGGGGCAAGCCCGTGCTAACTCTTCTCCTCGCTTTATTCTGATGGTTTTATTAGCCGAATTAGTCAGAAGCAGGGGTACGGTCGTTGATCCTTTCACTAGTGAACTGCATACTGTCACTTCTCCCTCATTATTATCAAACCCGTCCGTAGGGCTTACCTGATACAACCCGTCATTCAGGGCTCCCTCTACTATAATTTCGCCTTCCCCAGATACAGTGGTTCTAGGGGCAACTTTATATCTGCCTGGGCTACTACAGGTAGCTGCTCATAATTGTCTTCCCCTAGCCATATCCCTACCCCGTCCAAGGTCAGGGTGGCTGTTTAAGCCAGTCACTCCCCAGAATCAACTCGCCACACAAGTCAGGCGCTAGATATACCTTTATGACACCTCTAGTCCTTGCTAATTGAAATGACAGCCATGTCATACCCTCTATCCACATTCTTCTACTATTGGCCTGACTTATGGATAAATCTACTGGCTTCAACTTTTCCCTTCTCCCTAACTGTCTAGAGGTCCTGGAACTAACCAGTGATACTGATGCTCCAGTATCAACCAGGGCCCTAACCTTCTTGCCTCCCAGCAAGACATTGCAGTTGAAATCTGGCCCCTCTTTTAGCAAATGGTATACTCGGGCCTTCGTTCCATTCCCAAATTCCTTTCTATTCGCCTCTCCTCTGGACCACCGAGAGGTGGTGGCCAGCAACGGGGGTTCCTTATTTCTTCGAGGTCCCATTTCTGGTCTGGGGGCCCCTCTGGCTGGGATGGAGCTTGGATGATAGCGCCTTTCCACTCTACACCTCTGTCCCTCCAGTTCATTTCTATCTTGAGGGCATTCCTTCCTCTGTGGGGGCAGGTTCGCCTCATGTGGCCTGCGCCCCCACAATGCCAGCATCTACTCCGCTGACAATCGGCCGAAAAATGACCAACCACTCCACACGTCCAACATTTCAGAGGTCTTGCTCGAACTGGGGCCACCCTGCCTCCTACTCCTTCATGGGTGATCCAGCGGCGTTTCCCGGGCTCTTTGCTTTCCTGGTGGGTGGTAACAGCGCATTAGTCAACTTGATGCCTAATTTACAGTCCCCTGTCGCCGTACACCACCGAACCTTGTGCGCGTATTCGCCACAGGTCGTACAATTGGCTCCCAGAGACCTGGGGTCTCCTCCCCAATTGGTTGGACAATCCCGAGCCATGTGCCCAGCGTATTTACACGTCCAGCACACTAGCCCATACCGGCCTGGCGTGGATTTATAGAATCCATACCGCAAGTCCCATTCTCGTTTATTCGGCTCTGCCTCCAATTTTCCTCTACTTCTTCTTCCGGGTCCCGTGCCCGAACCTGCTCCTTCTTTTTCCTTATCTTGGTGCCCCTGAGGCATCTCGCTACGCTACCCCTTATTCTGTCCCAAAGTCATTCACTGTTGCGAGCTGCTTCAATGGCCGTGGCCAGGGTGCTCGGTCCATCCTTCAGGACGTCACCCCGCAGCTCCCTATCGCTCAACGCATCCATGTAAACGTCGGCTAACAGGGCCTGTATCAGACCACTGTTTCGGGTCTCCAGCTCTGGGATCGCCAGTGCCGCTAAGCCCGCTATTCTCTCTCCCAGATCCTTCATGGCTTCCCTATCTCCCTGCCGGTGTCTGAACAACTTCCTAACTGCCTCAATGGCTGTGCACTCACTGGCGTACTCTCGGACCAGGGCAGACTTCAGCTCTGTCCAAGTTAGAGCAGGGTTCTCCCTATATAGCCCTCCGACATATTTGGACACTGGGCCGGCCGCTGCTTCGTATGCCAGTAGGACCATCTCCGATATGACTTGTTTCTTTTGGATCGACAGTATCCATTCCTGCAGCTCACCCTAAACGAGGGCAGTCTCATGCCTCCGACCAGTCTGCGGAATCCCATCGTAATTTCGGAGACTCCCACCTCTCCCTGGTAGTTGTTTAATATCAGCTTTCTTCAAACTTCTATTATAGAAAAACTGCTGCCTAACTACAATTTAGATCTATGTATATATATATATATATATATATATATATATATATATATATATATGTATGTATTAGAGATAGTCCGTTTGGCAATTTGTTTTGGTATCGGTTTCTGTTTTATTTTCCTTGATACCGTGGTTCTCAATTCAGTTTTTCGTTTAGTATTTTTGCTTTCTAAGGAAGCCATTCATTTTCTTGTGTAATGATAGCATTTCCAGTCAATATCTCCCTGGTCATCTGTGATATATGAGCCCGCTACACTCATCCTACGCCTAATTACTACTACCTTCCCCTTATTCAACAAGAGACAACAAAAAAAAAAAAAAGGAAAACTCGCCTCACATAATATCGACACTCCAACAGAATGCAATGTTGAAGAAATCGCACACAACAACTATACACTGGCAGATTTGCGTGCAACAAGTGAACCGAGGACCAAAAAGTTGACTTACCTTTCTCTGCTCTACGTTTTCTTGTTCTCTCTTCTTCTCTTTTTTCTTTTTTTCAAACCTTTCTGACCGATAGTTCGTAACTACAGTCTCTTTGGTCGTACTTAGTTTTTAGTCCCTTCTTTTTTCCGGGACAAGGATCTGCGCTCCTCTCCCTCTGCGTCCCTGGTAAATCTACGGGTCGGAATCCTGGCACAAAGCACCAATTCTGACGTAGAAGCCCTGCCGGCTACAGCTCTACCACCATGTGTCTTCCACTGGATCTCCGAAGCACCATGGGAACCCAGTTTTCAAGAAGTACTAAAATCGGATTCGGACTCCCTGCTGGGTTTTCCACAGACAATGTCCACTTAGGCCGGCGAAAAGCACTTATCTCGTCTGAGGGCTCTGGCTGGATTTCGCCCAGCAGACCACCCAAAATCCAATTCACCATTTATCACAAGCTTTACCTAACGAACCCGTCCATTAATTACTCTGAAATTAATTCACCTAGTTAATTAATAATTCGATACCAGAAACAACTAAGTGAAAAGAAAAACTTATTTCTGGAATTATTCCGGAATCCCTTCTACCCAACTAATTAGTACCTTCTTCCCAATCCTTTAGAACCATTGATTTATAAACCCACCTGGTTTCTCTCTCTCTCTCTATCTATATATATATATATCTCTGTTACATAAGTACTGAACAGGCTTGACATTTCTTAACTCCAGTGTTCATACAGGAACCAATGTTTCAACATGATATGGCCATAAACCCATTTAAAGATTGTGTAGCATGACAAAAAAAAAGATCTAATGTACTCTTCTAAATAATTCTGAATAATTTAACATCTTGTTACTTTAGGATAGTTATTAGTTTTTTTTTTTTATCAAGATTCAAAGCCTCGGGATGAGAGAAGTACCTGTTATTATGCTGTGAAACTATTGGAAAGACACTAGTAAATTGAAAAAGACTAAATTCCGATAGACTGAATATATACTGATGACCAGACAAAGAAAAATGAAAGAAAGGGATATTTGTTTTTAATTGAGAAAAAAATAGAAGACCGAAAAACACTAAATTCCGATAGACTGAAGTCATACTAATGACCAGACAATGGAAAATGGAAGAAAAGGATATTTTTTTTTATTGGAAAAAAAAAAATAGAAGAATGTAATTAAATTTCTCGTCTGCTGGGGAGGCAAAACAAACAGACCATCTGGTTTTGATTAGAACTGAGACTACGTGACGAGCTATTTTGGAGGTCCAGTGAAATCCCTGAAAGAAATAGATAAGATTTTTATGACCATTGTGTGACAAAGAGGAAGATGGACCTCTAGCTGTGGGTTCAGTCAATTGATAAAGATTAACTTTTAGAAGCAGACAAGTTACCAGCAGAAAATAGATAAGAGAATGATAATTAAATTTTTCATCTGATGAAACACAATAAATCTTCCCAAAATGAAGGGATTGTTCCCTTTTTGCCACTTGTTGACCTGGGGGGTGTTGACAAGGGGATAAAAATCCAGATGCAAAAACAACCACACAAATGCACGAAAGAATGCAAGGAAGACTTTTGAATATTAATTAAAACTTGGCCATTGAGCTAGACCACGTCTAGCCCTTGGTGGATGAGTTTGGTCAGATGACCAAGGAGGAGAGGGCCCAGGTGGAATTACAGGGAAGGCGGACTTTCCACACCCATCAGGCAATGATGGTGAGAGGCACTCACACAAAGCAAGGAGGAGAAGGCCCAGGTAGAATCCCAAGAAGGGAGGAGGTGTTCCCCCATATTTGGACATTTGCAGGAAGAGCCCTGATTGGTTGTTTGGGGAGCACTGACATACCCAGAGCACATCATGCCCCACCCCAGCCCTTGCACATGGGTCCATAAAAACAGAATGCCAAATAGATGTAGAGAGATAGAGACTGCAGTGATACTGCGGACAGACTACGACAGAGAGAGCAGAGTACCACTGCTTCACCTGATCTCATGTGACTTGCTGCCCTGAAGAAAAAGCTTCTGATTTAAAGCCTTGTTCCAGAAGTTACATTCCAAAATTTTAACAACAGTGTATCACGATAATCGGGAAGGATCGAGAGTCATTGCATAGAGAATATAGTCCTGAGTAAACCATCAATAACTGTACCATCAACTTTGTATCAAGTAACTGTATATAAATATTTTTTTTCTTCTATCTGATTTATTTTCTTTTCTTTTGTATGATTTTACTCTGGCTGGACCAAACCAAGCTATCGATTCTAGTCGACCATTCAGACCAAGCCAGTCTTGTGGTCAATCAATACGACTTGGGCTGAAGCAATCAACTCTATGATCAGCTGAGGAGACTGAACTGGAATACGGAACAGCTAGGGTAGATGTCATAATGCAATAGGGAGCAAGTAAGATTTGCATTTGCTAACATAATGGGTTGATCGATTCTCAGTAGGTGTTTCATCATTAAAATGACCTTTAGTACTTAGAATGGAACAAAAATTAGCAAGCTTGCAATAAAGATTCTATCAAGCCTTAGATAAGATTGATGAAGCTCGGTCTGTTGCTTTGGCTATCTTGAAAACATTTGAGAGGGTTTGGTATACTGGTCTGCTTTTAAGGTTATTGCATTTCTGGGTGAATTTTTGAACTGGTTCAGTCTTATCAAATTGCAAAATGAATGTGTTCTTGAATGGCCACTCTTCTAGATCTTTTTGCATTAATGCAGGTGTCCTCCAGGGTCCTATGTTGTTTCTAATTTTCATATATGACCTTCCTGATGTCATTAGTTCTCAACTCTATCTATGCTGATGACACATCTATTTACTCCTGTCTTAATGATAAGTCTCATTGGTTCGTTAAGGTTAAATAGGCAGCTGACCTCAAACATGACCTACAATCTGTTGTTAACTGGAACAAGGAATGGCTTGTTAATTTTAATGCCTCCAAAACAAAACTGCTCTCTTAATCATCTGAGAGAACCCTTTTTACCTTCCATCAGCATGACTGATCCTAACCTCCAGAAGAGTGACTCAATGCAACTTAGACTAACATTTTCCACTGACATGAAATGGAAAGATTATATTGAATCAATTTCTAGGTCTGTAGCTAAGAAAGTTGGTTCAGTGTGTTGTGCTTGAGAATTATTCTCACTAGAATCTATCTTACATAATTCTACCAATAGTCCTTGCTTTGAATATTGCTGCCACATCTGGTCTGGTGCTCCTGCTATATATTTAGAAATTCTTGATAAAGAGAAGAATCTGCACTGTTATTGGTCTTGACCTGGCATCACAGCTTCAGTCACTTTCACATTGCTGAAACAGTTTCCCTGTACATTTTCTATAAATACTTTCATGGTAATTGTTCTGATGAACTTTCTCTATGGTACCTGTACATTTTCTATAAATACTTTCATGGTAATTGTTCTGATGAACTTTCCTCTATGGTACCTGTACATTTTCTATAAATACTTTCATGGTAATTGTTCTGATGAACTTTCCTCTATGGTACCTAGACTTTATGAATTTAAGTGCAATAGTAGATTGGTGGTAAGATCTCATTTTACACTGGAAATGGCAAGATGTAAGTTCTGTGCTAACAGTTTCTTCTACGGCACTTCTCGCTTGTGGAACTGTCTTCCAGGTTGTTTCCCAGTCAAACTGATCTTCAAAAATTTAAATGCAATGTCAATTGTTATCTTCCGTATTCTTAGTTCTTGTTCTTTTATTATTCTCTCTTCTTAATCGTGTATTTTTTCTCTTATTCGCATCTTAGTGGCTTTATTGCCTAGTTTGGGGTGAAATGATTTTTAAAAAAATAGCTTGTCTGGAATGATGAATTTAATTCTTACTAGGAACTACATGGTGCGTGTGTACATCAACACATGAAATGCAATGTATATCCCAAATTTATGTAAGTTCTTTCTTTAAGGTTCTTTTATAAATTTGTTTTCATTTCTAGTAGTTGTTTAATATCAGCTTTCTTCAAATTTCTATTATAGAAAAACTGCTGCCTAACTACAATTTAGATCTATGTATATATATATATATATATATATATATATATATGTATGTATTAGAGATAGTTGGTTTTGCAATTTGTTTTGGTATCGGTTTTTCAGTTTTGTTTTCCTTGATACCGTGGTTTTTCAATTCAGTTTTTCGTTTAGTATTTTTGCTTTCTAAGGAAGCCATTCATTTTCTTGTGTAATGATAGCATTTCCAGTCAATATCTAATTTTGTTTGAAATTGATAAATTTACAACTTAGTCCATTCAACTTGCAAATTCTCGTGTATTTCTGGTCCAATCTTAAAAATATTCATATGGCTGGAAAGAAAATAAAATAATCTTTCTAAGTATGTAATTTGTATGTGCTTTTATTCATTGAATTATTTTTTACAAGTTAAAACATATTTTGCTTTCTACAGTCAAAATCCGAAATATGATTTTTTCAAGACTAAATTTTACATGTTACTTTGTTTGCCAAATCAATGTGACCAATCTTTATCAATATTCTTGAAATAGTACCCTCAATTAGAAGACACCTTAAACTACAACCAGGAAGATGTTCATTTCTTTTCTGACCTGTGGAAGCGAATCCCTTCAAAAATTATAAAGTAAGCAAAAAAAAAAAAAAAAAAAAAAAAAGGAAAGAGTAAGTGATAGTAATAATAAATATGTGGTTAAAAAACTTTCAATTAACTACTAACTTATCGTGTAATCTAAATGTCCCATATACTTTTTGGCTTTCGAGTGTTGTTTTTTGAAACATCTGTCAGTAATGGGTGCGTAGCGGGGTGGATTAATATTTGGTTTTAAGCAAGGGTAATAAAAATTCATAGACATGCATTAAAGACCACTGGAATTGAAAACCTGAAAACCGTGAATCAGAGTGGGTAATAAAGTAGGGATTGTTCACCTAAAGTCAGTTTTAGGCTTTAAAGGTAATTTAGTAAAGATATTTGTAAAAATAAGATTAATTAATTTTCCTTGTTTAGAAGAATTTTATAGACACAAAACTCACCAAACACTAGTGGCGAAAAAAAGAATAATTTTTACTTTAGGTTTTAAAAAAAGACTTGCAGTTTTGAAAATACACATTTTAAAACTGAGATTAAAATTTACTTTATTTTTTTAATATCTAATTTTAGGTGTATTCGCTAGATAGAAACATAATTTTATTTGTAGATAATAAACAATTTTACACTAGAGACACGCATATCTGGAAATATACACATTTTAAAAGTGAAATTAAGAACTATTTTAATTATTATTATCTAATTTAGGTGCATTCCTTAGATAGAAAACAAATTTATTCATGAAAAAAAGATCTTCATTCATTTTTCTTGTTTACAACAACTTTATTTTGTGATTGGCATACACTGGCTTACTAAAAAACAATTATGTACAACCCTTACAAAAAATCCGACTTCATAAAATTTAACATTAAGATGAAACTGGCAACTATTTTTTTATTTTTACTTGCTATTTTGTGGTTAACTTAATTTTACCACAAACATTTTCTTTCTTTTGAAAACTGAAATAGATTTCAGACATCAGGTCATATTTTCTTTTTTTTATTTCTACATTTCTTCTGTAAACAAATAGATTTCACATTTATTTATAAAACTAGTCAAATAAATGTTTTTAACATATTTTTGTTCAATCTTTTTCTCTTACAATGGTATAAATGTTGATAAAATTTAATTGTATTAACATCTGAAAGTCTTTTTCAATATTGTTTCTTTGAATATGATCACTCAGTAGTGATAACACTTAAAAAAACCAACAATTTCGGTTTCATAAAAAATTTTGATGCGGTTTCATGGTGTGAAGATGAAACTGAAAAAAGTCAGTTTTTCATTTTCAGTTAAACCGCCATTTCATCAGAAAACTGTCTTCATCTCCATCATGCCCGATCCATCTCTCAGATTCTCATTGAGATAAGCATGTACTGTCCCCTTCCATTATATAAAATCTTGATCTGTTTCTATACATTCCGTGAAAATTTGAGGTTGTTTCAACAAGAAATTATTGGCCTGTGAAATTATGTCAATTTTTTGGGGACACCATGTATTTTGATCTTTCTCTCTACTCTGGCTGATTGACATTTGTTTACATTCGTAAAAACAAATTGCTAGATTTAGCTGCCTCATTCTGTCAAATGAAGATGGTTCAGTGGTAGAACCTCTGACCGACATGAAATCGGTTGGGTTTTAATCCTGGCTTGAGTCACACTGGAGAGCTGTGATACAGCGAAACAGTACTGTCTGTGAATGACACACACATATATATATATATATACATGAATTATTCACACAAAAATAATGCAAAGGTTAATGATTTAAATGGCGAGACATCCATCATCGCAAACAATTCAAATAGTACACAAAAACTTCCAGATCCGTTATGAATGAATTGATCCTTGTTTATATAAATTTCTGTAATTATTAGTTTGTTATTTTTTACTAAAGCTTTCGTCTGTTTTATAAGAAATCTTCAGGTATATAATAGATGTTGTTCTTGTTTTTTCTCTTAGTAATAAGAGGACATCGAAAATATATGTGTTATTGTATCCGAAATGCTTTGAAAAATGAGTTATTGGTTTTTGGATAGCAAAAAAACGCTGAGTTTGATTTTAAATTTTTTTTAAAAAAAATTAAAAAGATTTTATTTTCCCAAAAAACAAAACAAAAACAAAAAACAAGAACAAAATTTATTGTCAAATGGCATGAACTATATTGTTCAGGAACATAATTAAACCATATTTGTTATAGCAAAAAAAAAAATTTAAATTAAATAGCAGAAATTTATATAAACAAGGATCAATTCATTCAATTTTTGGATATGGAGGTTTTGTGTAAAATTTAAAAACAAAAATATGATGGATAAATATTGAATAATTTAAATCATTATGTGTTTTTGCATTAGTTTTGTGTGAATAATTCATGTATATATTTGTAAATTGATTTATCGTTTATTATATATATATATATATATATATATATATATATATATATTACATCCTTCAATTTTTTATTACAAATCTAGGATGTGTGTGTGTGTAGATGTAATTGTTCAGTTACAAAAGACTGACATTTTTTTTTTTTTTTCTTCACTGAAGAGAATCTAACATTGAATTCTATAGTTTAATTATTATTTCCAAGCAGACCATTATCCTCATCTTTGTTGTTATTACAATGTTTTAGCCACTGTGATCTCTAGCCTTCCTCCGGTGTTTGCCGATATATATTTGCTCATATAAACAGCCTCCTTTAACTATTTGCCCCTTTTTATTGATAGTCCCTATTTTTATTTTGACTTTATTCCAAAATGATTAAGTGATTTGTTTCTATCTTCTGTCAGTTCTGATCAGTTTTTCAAAACTGAATATTTAGAAGTTGTTTGAAAAAATAAAAGATTTTCCCAGTGACTAAATCTCATCTTTTTCCAAAAGGTAAATTTATATATTTTAACTTTAATTTATATAATTAAGTGGACAAAAATGAAAAGATTTTAAAACTATATTTTATTAAACTATAAAGAATGATTCTAATGTTGGCTGCCCTGTCAGCTGGGGCTTGAGAATATGCTGGCTGCACCTCGGCAACAGGTAAAGACCCCACCCCCAACAAATGTGGCGTCCTGGGTAAGACGATAAACTACATACAACAGCAAGGCCTCTGATCAGAAGGTTTTGAGAAGCATAACTACTGGTGTTCCCAAGTCCACCCTGACCCAGGAATGGTAGCAACTGTTAGGGTCCCAGCTATTGGCAAATAGTTACCCCCCCCCCACAAACCGGGGGCAAAACACTATGAAAGTGTTAATATAGGTTTTAATACCAGCAATACATTTTTGTAAAAAATTATTACCAGCAATAAGAATCTTGTCAGCATTAAATATACCACAAAACAAACCAAACCAAACCAATCTAATATTGGTACCTCCAATGGAAAGTGACACCTAATGTTTAAAATGAATTTTAAAAATGAAAAATCTTTTTTGAAGCTTTTATTTTCATTTTGATTTCAAGCTAATGGATTAAATATAATATTTTTAATAAGCAAAATACTTTGCTGTATTTGAAAATGAATTTAAATTGATTGAAATTGTGACACTGGGGCAACAGTGAAGTGGTTATACATTAATTCTAAGCAAGAAAAGACAAGGGTTAACCCAAAATGAAATATAGACTGGAAGATAGAGAGAGTGGAGACATTTTCCTCATTGAGAATGTCTGAATTTATTCGCATAAAAGTTTATTTTATCTATCAAGAATCTGGCATGCGGTTGAAAATAGATTTGGAGAAATGGCTTTATCTCTTTCTTGAGAAATTAGGGAAACATATTTTTCATTGATGAAAACAAACCCTTTTTTTTAGGGTTGAAGTTAGGAAAATCAATCATGTCGTGCCAAGAAGGTGATCTGGTTTAAGTTTTTGCTGAGACACTGTCCGGTCCAAGGAAAGTAATCAGTTTGGTCTCTTGTTTGAGAATTTAGGTAAAAAATATATATATATATATATATATATATATATATATATATATATATATATATATTGATGAAAGCAGATTAGGAAATAATTTTTATTATCACTTGGAAGGTTAAAATGAGAACAAATTTTTCTTAATGGGTCGGATGTACTGTACGATTAAGGCTGAAGTTACTAAAATAAATTTTGTCATAGGTGGTCTGGTTTGTATCTTCACTGGACAGAGATGGTTCCAGGAAAATGGAAAAGATTTGGAGAATTAAAATTAATGACTGGAATGGAATTCTGCCCTTCCACCTATGCGCTTTAAAATTTAGATTTGTCATAAAGACAGTTCTACATTCCCTGGGAAGTGGGCTGAGGTAGAATACTGAGAAGAAGGGACAGTTTGGCCATGCCTGTGTGAAGTAGCAGTGAGAGTTGTGAAGTGAAGCAGGTTGGAGTTAAGAGAGAAGCAATCCCTGTGACTACTCCCAAAGAAGGTGGATAATTCTCCAAATTTGGAAAATTGATTAAGAAGGCAGAAATAGGGAACAAAGAAAACCTTTATTTGAATTAATGAAAATTGTGGAATCACCAAATTTCCAGAACCAGTTTTTGGCTGAAGTGCATATAAGCAGATAACTTTGGGGTGCTCAAAGAGTTGGGTCTGAGAAGCCACATCAAGCACTTCTGAAATCCGCATCAGCTGCCACTAGAATTCCTGATTCCAAGACTTTGAACCCAGACCTTCCAGAAGCTTAGACAAGGCCCAGTGTCACTAGAGAGAATGATGCAAAAAGGGTTAATTTTTGTTGTACAAAGAGCTATATAAACCAATTGATGGTTAACCTCACAAATCTCCTGTTTTATTTTTTCATGGTGAAGGTATTTTTTCCTTAATATAGCACCTGCCACAGTTTGACTAGTGGTGCAAGACTATGACCTTCAACTGCTCTGAGATCAAGATCATAATATGAACAGAGATAGTGTAGATCGAAGTGGCCAGCGACTGACAACCAGCTTAGACCAGCATCAGCATTGACCAATGCAGAGTTAGCCTGTAGTTAAAACATCATCCTATGACCCTGAGGACTGGACCACCAAATGTGGTTACACCACCAAGTGTAAGTGGCGGTGAAAATTGTTACATTATTTACTGTCAGTGACCAAGGATGAGACCTTGTTGCAAGGAGGTTTTACAGAACAAGCATTTTTTTTTTTAAATAATTAAAAATAGCTGATTTTAGCCATATTTACAATTCTCTCAGCACAACATAATTCTGTTTATTTAAAAATCTTTCAAAAATAAAATTTATGTTTTTGAAACTTTATTTGAAGGAGATTTAAAGTTTAATCAATCTGATTTGAAACAAATATTACTTTTAGTTTAAAATATCGCAGAAAAGCATTTTTTGACATGGAGGTGGATGTTTTTATGAGATGATGACAATTCTATTGACAGCCTGATGTTTGAGAAATTTAATTTTTTCTACAGGGAACATATCTGTAAAAATTACTTGACAAATTTAAGGTGCGTGCCTTATTTATATAATTTTCTAACTACCCAGTAATTTTAAAAATTTAGAAAAATACTCTAAGTAATCTAACATTTTATGTACTTTTGCTTTAAATTTACTATAGTTACCACTCTTATTTTTTGGAGTATGAATTTTAGTAAGCTTTTCTATTTATGATTTGCAAATATAGTTTCTACTTAATAATAATATCACCTAGCTGCTACAAATTAATACAGAATTTTAAAAGATACAAACTTTATAAATTATTATAATTAACATTTTAAAAAATTGAAAACAATTCTTGTAAAAATTCATTATTCATAATAATTTTTTTTATTAAGAGAATCATGTCCATACTATATGTTATTCATAAAAACAAAATTTTTTCTAATTAAATAATGTCTTAGTGTTTTAGTACATGCTTTATTTTATGATTTGGAGCAGATTTTCAGTAATTGTAAGTCTTATTTGACAACAAAATAAAAATTGATGATTTAAATTCTCCACAGATTCCTTTTCTTTATTATCTGTGAAGTGGAAAGATAGAAGAGTGGTTTTCTATGGACTTCTCCAGTTTTAAATTAAAAATTTTCTATTACACTCAAGGCTAGAGAGCCCAGTCTACCCTGCTATTTAACCCATAAATGGTTGGGGAGTGAAGAAGAATGGATTTGTGCCTTTTCCATGTGCATTAGTGCACAACAGAATAGACTGGAATTTGAACTTGGCTCACAAATTTCATTTTTTGTGCTGATGTCTGTTAAACCACCCACACGACAATATGCATTGTATTTTTCTTATTCAGTTTGTGATAATTCCCAAAAGCAGTGATCAGGTGAGTGGCATTTATCACACGTGTTCCACAAAGTTTCCAACTTTAAGAGAGAATGAAAAACTTTTTTGCTGAACTTCTGAAAAGTGATTTTAACAGGAAAAAAATATTTTACAAAGCTAGAGATTCCAATCACACAGTTATCAAGAAAATTAGAAAAAAAAAAAAGGTACTGTGTTAAAAATGCAAGTGATCTTTGACAGACTGGTCAAAAAGTAAATCACTAAAATTTTATTTTATCATCAAACCCTGGATAAATTTTCATTTTCATTTGGGGGGGGGGGGTCATAAATATTTATTTCCAACCTGATTCAGTTATTAAAATGTTTAAAAAGTTCAAAATGTTTAAAAAGTTTATGCCGAGATTACAACTGGATAGTCAAAGTTGAAAAGAAACGTCCTTTATTTTTTAAAGTAGCGAAAAAGTTGTTATTTGCTGAGAACTTGAAAGAAATCTTCAGAATCAGCATCATTGTACCTGAAAAATATAAATACAATTCTTTGTGAAAGCAAAAAGTTCAACAACTTCAGCCCCTTTTGCAGGGAAGCATTTGTTTGCAAACTAGTCTTAGTAATCATTAATACATTGTAACAAGTTCCATTTCACTGGATTCCTCATTCTTGTATCCTTGTGCCAGACTAGATTAAGCATTGCAAATATGAATATCAATGACAATTGGGCTCCTTGTTTTGGAACATTAATTTTGCCTTAACTTCTTTCTAGACTTGAAAAAAAGTCATTTTTTGAACAAGATATTCACTGGATTTATTCCAAGAATCCAAATTGAAGCAAATCATATTCAGGTCCAGAACAGCCTTCAACATCTTGCTGTGTTTGCTAAAATCTAAAGGGAATTCTTTCTTATAAATTGCTGGAAACTAGGCAAACCGTTATTGCACCAATACTACAATGAACCATTGTTTTTTTTGCGTTTTTTTTAAATGAAGAATTTAAAGAGAAAAGGTCATTGTTTTTCTGGCTAAGGAAATTGATCAGCACAAATGAGATGCAGGACAACATCCATGTTTATATTGTAAATGTAAAAACAACAAATGATTATCAAATAGAAAAGTCTTTTACATTTACAGGTAAACTTGAAATTATTCATAACCCTGCAGAATTTGTGATTTTTTAAAATATTTTCTTGATTTTTTTTCCTGATATCTCAAGAAGAACTAAAGAAACAATAACATGAAGGAAAAAAGTGCCAAAGAACTTTCATTTGATGTTCATAATGTGTGAGTGATTTTGAATTTGTTAATCCAATAACAAACTTTTCACAATAATATAACAAGAAACGTATTTAAAATCAGAAATTTTCAAAACATGAGAAAAATAATATTATCATTTAGGAAAAGTGATGCAAAATAAAAAATCATGTCAATCCAAGTTTTAGTCACATTTTTTTCCTTTCATGTTAATATCCTCTGTCAATCAACCTGGGTATGAAACAAAATGTTAGTACAAAATATAAAGCTATACACCTAGGTAAATGAAGATAAAAATGTGATATTAAGAAAGTCCAGCTACAGATAACACCACTTTAAAAATGGGATGGAATTTAATTCACAATGCTTCAAAAAGGCAAGGATTTAGGGTTTTGGCAAACATTTTAGAATATTTAAATTATTAGTGCGTGTGCATGTGAAGAGAAAAGAGAAGGAAAACATAAAATTAAATAAATCCAAAAAGCAAACTTCAGCCTATAGGGCACAGGGAAAAATTTTGGAAACATTTTGAGAAGAGTATTTTTGACGCTGGGGAAATACAATATGATAACAATTTAAAAACAATAATGGTTTTAATATTGGTTCCTGCATCAACAAAAGTAATAGAGAAAATTGTTGATATTTGTGTTTGTTAAAAACAAAAGATAAATAATGAGTTACTCACTTTTCCAACATTTGTTTTGCAGATACTTTACTGACCTCTGCTGAGGCATTTGATGATGATGATAACGTTTGAGAAGACAGGGGGGATTCCATTTTGTATTTTGTATGCAGGGAAGATGCTGTTTTCTGTGACATGGGTAGAAGTGCTTGTGGGTTAGGTTTAGAAGCCAAATGACACCGAGAATCGGCTTGACATTCAAGGTGATTTGGATCATCAAGTGAGGTTTGTTTAGCTATGGAAGCAGAAGCCTCTGCAGGTGATGGGTGCAGATTTACTTCAAAGCCATCATTCATATACGGTAATTCACTACCTACCGTCTGCAAAAGCTGAAGTCCATCAGTTCGGTGATATATAAACTTTGAAGCTAATTCTTTTTTGTGTACATTGCGTGTGTGTTGGTTACGTTTATCTGAACGTGTAAATGACCGTTGACAGTATTCGCATGCGTAAGGCCGTTCACCAGTATGTGTGCGAATATGAATATTGAGTTTGTCTGAGTCAGCAAAACCCTTGTCACAATAAGCACATCGGTAGGGTCGTTCGCCAGTATGGGATCTCATATGAATTGTTCGTTTGTTGGACTTGGAAAAAGTGCGTTCACAATAGTCACACTTGTAAGGTTTAATACCTAATGAACAAAGGGAATAAAATATAATTAGAAAAATAATTAAAAACAATAGCAAGGTTCTATTCTATTTATTAATTTCTTATTGACATGTGAGCATTAAGAAACATAGCAGATATGTACAAAAGGTTTGTATTTGTGATAAGAAATTTACATTGTTCAGCTAAAACATAAAAAGCAACCAAATTTGTGATTGAAATGATATCAGATATGATTGAACATCAATCTATAATCCCAACAAAGATGCAGTTATATTTTGAATCCAGATTTCTTAATATATTTTCAGAAGTTTCTCAAAAAATATTTATTGTTAAATTGTCATTGAAACTTGTATCTTATTAATGTGACCTGCATTGAGTTAAATGAATATCTAAAATCACTGTTTTATAAATATATATATAGACATGGCCTGACGATTGCATCTAGCATGAAACAGTCTGTCTCGCCTCTGAGTGTTGACTTCAGTGTTCACTTTATATATATATATATATATATATATATATATATATATATATATATATTATATGAGGAGATAGAGAAAAATAGCTAAAATGTTTACTTATCTTGTCTGTACTCTGTATTTCTTGATATCAAGCATTATAATTACAAGAGGATGTTGCAGTCAACACCCAGTGGCAACAGTCCATTTTAGGTTTAAATGCAATCTTCAGGACAACTTTGTGTTTAAGCATGAGACAAACTGTTGCTGCATAGTGTTGACCTCAATGTCCACCTTTATATTTATATATGCTCTACCACTGATATTGACTACTTTAACCCATAAATATAGCATACCTTAAAACTATATTTTTATTATAAGTGTATCCAAGGCAAAGGATTTATGTATGCAATACATGCACTACATACCTTACATTTTTTCCAGAATAAATAATTTTGTGCAATACAAAATTAATTATTGATAATTTTCACTATCCTCTTTGTATTTGTATTTTTTTCTATTTCTCGTTTCTTAGGTTAATTGTTACAAGCTATATTATTTAGGGAGTTTAAGTAGAGAAAGCACTTGTTGTTTAGTGAGAAAAGATGCAAGTAAAAGCAATGAATTTACTGGCCTTTTTTTGTAGGGAGCATGAGAAACAGTACATTTTGTACAGTTTTATTATTCCCTTCAAACTGGGTGTATGAAAAAGAAAGACAGAATAATTATGTGGGGGGGGAGGGGTCACAAAAAGAAAACCAACAAAAAGTAGAAATTCTTTTGCTTGCCTTCCAGCCGTATTCAGCCAGCAGACAGTCTCTACTGAAGTGATGAGATTTTTTATTGCGTGGGGCTGAAGTCAAAGACTTTCCAATTCAAAGGACTTTTATAGTTAGACAGATTTAGATGAAAAATTTGTATTATTTGCTTCTGAAGAGTATATAGGGAACATCTGATGACTTTACTGTCACATTGAAAGATCTTTTTTTTTTTGACTTTTTAAAAGTTTTTAACTTATGGTGAGTATTCTAGACCAATTCTTAAGACCTGGATTCAATCCATTACCTAGAAAGCTTTTGACCAGTTCATACATGGAGCGAAAAAGAGCAACAGGCGAAGTCTATTTTGTGATTAAAAGGTAAATTTTCATCTGTTTCAATGCCTTAAGATTTAATTTTAAATGTTCAAAATTATTTTTTAAAGTTATGTAAAAAAATTTCTAAATAATATTGTATATTATTTCATTAAACATACTAAATTTTGTTAAAGGGCATTTAAAAAAAATCACTGCAATACCTAATTTTAAAAGTACTTAAATTCAAATTTCATGTATTAATGTTGATGCTATTTTAAAGAAGAAAGGTTGAACTTTATCTTAAAAGAACATGTGGGTAATTAAATTAATTTAAATTAAAACAATATTCAATTAGTTTATGTCAAAAAGAGTACCAAGTCTGAAGCAGACCCTGTTGGTAGAAGTGTATATTCTTACATTAATTTTAGTTCATGTCAGTGGTTGGGGGGTGGGGGTGGAGGCAAATAATTTTCCAGGGACACAGAGTGAGGTTCTCCTTTTCCCTCTCTACCTTGGTAATTAGCCTGTATGCCCTGGTTCTCAAGTTACCCTTCTCCACTGATGTGTATGTATATATAATGCCTATCTGGAATGTATTCAACAATTTACATCTTAACCAGTTATGCAGTACTGATGCACTGATTGCCACTCAAACAAAGAGAATCTTGTTGCATATGCATGAACAGACACTCTCTCATAGAATTACTCAGTCTGTAATGAGATACTACTGTGTGATCATTGCATTGAACAATGCAACTTGCCCTTTTCTTTCATATCAATTGCCACGTTTTTTTAGCAAACCATTACATCAACCTCCCAACAATCCAAATCTCACACACACTACATTTGGTTTTTCTTAAAGCTAAAACCTCCATTGGACAGACTGTAGGTGAGATTAAGGAGAATAGGATAAGGCAGCTGGAGGTGATCTGTATGGAAGAAAATAGCAGCTTACATTGTCAATCAAAATGCCCCCCACTACATTGCATGCATGCTATTGCAAAATAGATTACTAACTCAGAGGAGGTCAGTATTATATTAGCAAGCACACAAATTTGTTTTTCCTGGCCAATCATGAATGTCGACATCTTATCAAGTGCTTTTAAAAATCCTGTTTTTGTCATCAGGGATGTTTTTTAGCAGCACACTAGCTGGGTGAGTGCTTAGATTTTGCAATCTACATTCTCCATAACACAATCCTAAAAGAAACCTCAACAAACTGTTTTGAAAAGTAGAAAAGACACTTGGATATATGTGTAAGGTACTAAGGCGTGGACTTTAAAGAAGTCTAAGGTAACATTGTTCTCAGTAGAATATTGTTGTAAATAATATTAAACAGTTGAATCATTTCCAAATAAGATTTCATAAAAAAAAATTGTTTTTCTAAAAACAAAATTACAGAATAATCCAAAGTAATGGTCTTGTTTATTATCTTCAAATTTTATGAATGGTTTGTCTTTTTGTAGTATCCATTATATTCTCTATATTTACTTACACACAAGTTAGCTACGAGCCTGGCCAGTACCTAGATGTATGACTGCTTTGGAATACCAGGTGCTGTAAGCTTGGATGTGTGAGTGGTGTAATGGATGCCTCAGAATTGTTAATCAGAGAGCTGAGTTACAATTCATCCTGAGTTTGTTATATTCACTTACATGCAAATACCCATGGGAAAGGTATGAATCCCACTCTTCTACCCCCAGCTATGGGTTAATTATCAAGACTTGTACCACTAAATTATTATTATCTAAAAAAAAAAAAAAAAAAAAAAAAAAAAACATTCTTATAATCTAAAAATATTTTCTGGCTTTAAATAACCTGCAAAGAGTTGATAAGCCACAGAAAATGGGAAAAAAATGTTAACTAATGTGTATAAAAGATTCACAAGTTCCCCAAGAAATCATGTTAACCAATTGTTTCAATATGTTAAGAGGAAAAAGCTTATATATACCTGTGTGCACACGAAAATGTTTTGCCAACTGTGCAGCATCTGAGTAAGTTCGATAACACAAGCCACACTTGTGAGGTTTATTGACTAAATGACTCTTCTCATGACGACTTGCATAACTCGAACTGGCAAATCTATCTCCACAAAACTGACATTTATATGGCTTATCATCAGCATGTGTCATCACATGAACAGTTAAGCAGGTAGCTTCTGCAAATGAGAGACAGCAAAATGAACATTTGTGGGCCTTTGGGTCTGACTCATTCACACTAACGTGTTTGCCGAGTTGGGAATATGACTGGAATGATTTGTCACAATAGATGCACTTGTAAGGTCTTTTCTCTTCATGACTCTGTTTATGCTGTTCCAAGGTACTTGATTGGTTGAAGGATCGGCTGCACAGTTCACAAGTAAATAATTTATCCATGCTGACAAAAGATTGAAAAACACACTGAGAATAAGTAATGACGGATGTTCCCATAAAACTCTGCTAAATATGATTGAACAGAAAACAAACTGGTTTGGATTTTCTGTTGTTTTCTTTTATGTGACAGCATGTCTGAAAAGTAAATATTAAAAACAAAGTTATATGCACGAAAAATCTTTTATGTACTGAATTAGAAAATAGTCTATTGTATTTATTAAAAGTGAGACATTTTTTTGTGTTGACTCAACCAATCTGGTGTAAAATCAGAGGCAAATGTCTAACCCTGCCTCCCATTCTATAATTTCTCAAATAAAATTCATGTAAAAAGTATCAAGGGCAAAATAGTTCAAACATTCTATGTAAAATTCAAATCACAAAAAACATAATGAATACAGTTTTTTTTTAGTTGTTAAGCATATTAAAAACATTTCAACTTCTCTTCCTTTTTAATAACCAATGGCAGAATACAATATTCCATATCATGAGAGAATTGGTGACCAGATAAATTCAGAACACTCAGAAACATTGCCAAATCAATTAAACACCAAAAAAGACTGCAATTCCTATTATCTAAGAGATTCAGTAGATTTCTAACTCTATTAAAAATTACAGGTGAAATATAATAATTACTAGATAATTGGAATTATGGCAAACGACTTTTGTTACAGCCACACATAGATGATGATCACTTGCTGTTATCAAACAAACTCACTTGCTTAGGACAATGGGTGGAACTGAGGCTGTTGTCTACTGTAGATTTCATCTTGTTCTTTTAAGAGAGTTGAAGCAAATACAACTTTAAAGAAATTCTGAGATTTCATTTTGAAAAAAGAATTGTGTGAGAAAGATAAAAACTTAAAAATATGAAATCAACTGAGAATATTTATTTTATAGCTGACAAAGATGGAGTTTCATATTTACACTATTTAAATCATTCAGACTATTACCCTCTTCTTTATTGTCATATTCACAATGTTTCAGCCATCATACACCCCGGCCTTCTTCAGCTGATATACACTGGAATTTCAAACCAAGCACTTTATTTAGTCTGTTGGAGTAGATTGTTGTAATTTCATGTGCTATGCTTTTTTTTTGGATATCTCAATTTCAGTTATTTCCATTTAGTAGCTCAATTCTCTATGTTTTTCTTCCCTTGTTCAGCCTTATTTAGCAGAGCCACAAGATTGAATATTGAACTTACAATACTGGTAAATGATCTAACATGCTAACCATCACTTTATACCAAATAAATAGCATAAGTTTATTTTCAAAATTTATTTAGTAATTCCAAAAACCAAGCAAAAATCTGTGTTTACTCATGTGACAAATATAGCCTACTTTAAAATAAAATTATTAATTTTTAGTGGATGAGAGAAAATTGTTAATTCAGTTCCACCTATGAGACTTTGAAATGTTTTAAAATACTTCTGATAATTATGAAAAATCCATCATCTATAGTCTATATTCCTGAGATGAGGTATTGTAACTATTTACATTGGTCAGACTGTTGCCCTCATCTTTATTACCATATTCACAATGTTCTGACTGTTGTACATTCCAGCCATCCTTCAGGTGATATACATTGGAATTTAATCATGTAACAGATGTAGCCTACTTTAAAATAAGGCTGAAATTAGTAAATATTTATACCAAACTCTAAGTGTACAAAACTATAATGGTTGTAAAAGTCAATTTTTTTTCTTGTTTAATACTTAAAAAAAAAAAAAAATTATTTCATGTCACTGTTAGAGCTATGAGATGAGAGATTCTATCATTCCTGAGTGTGTACGCGGGTGAGTGGTTCCAATCATGAGGTATGGGTTCAAATTTCGCCATAGATTCCTCAAGATGAATTCTTGTAGAAGGGTAAATATGCATTCATACGCGACAGAAAATACGGCCAATCCAAAAGCTGCCATTTAAGAACAACTTGTTCTTGGAGATTAGAGATTTTGTGAAACTAGGGACAAACACTAGAGAAAACACTGACAAGACACCGACGAGTCAAGAAGTTGTGCTTTGTGTGTGACATTTTACATTAGTCTCACTGATTGTGATTTGTAAAGTAAACTACGAGAAAAGCAAGTGGTTTGCCTGGAAAACATTTGTCACTCAGGATTAACCCCCACTAAGGACTTTTGCCAGTTGCTTGAATTTAAACTAAAAACTATTTTGGCATCTCAATAGACAAAATGGAGTGGAAATTCGATATGAAACTCATCTCTGGGTTTGATGGCTTGGTGTCCAGACTGTTCATGGTCGAATAGGTTGAACACATAATCCTCTTAAGGTTGTTGGGTGGAGCATTTGTTGTCTACAAGTAGCTGGGCAAAGAGGAAAGAGCAGATATTAAGTGAATAAAATTTGTATATGGCTTTTGTGATGGATGGGTTTGTAGCATGTGATCAATTCACAGAGCAACAGCTTAGTCATGGGGAATCGGTTGACGTATACTTGGCATAGTTGTGAAAAGTAGAAGTATTATTCATTGGAATGAGTGACTGCAGACTGGCATGTGTGTTTGTAACGGGATTGCTAAAGCAGGTGAAGCAGCTTATCCAAACCAATCCAAATGAATGCGATAGCGATTGACTAGCTGTTGGCTCAAGCATGAGCAATTATGAAGGATGAGATCTGGAGTATGCTCCAGCAGTTGCAGCAGCGCAAACAATACAGGATGAGACAAGGAAGCTTCCTACTGTTATAACCATTTTGCAAAGGATTACATGGGACCACATGTTGAAAGGCAGAAAAACTACAGGTGCAAAGAGAAAATTGTCTAGGAAACAAGCCAGGAGAAAAGACTTCAGCACCAGTCTGTTCCTTGGCCCCACCTGAATGATGCACTACCTGCAATTACTGAATCACAGGTGCAGCCTTGGTGGACATGGATTGCTTCCAGACATTTGTTAGCAGAGCACTTTGTCACTCCTGGAAGAGGAAGGAAGTGGATGTGTTCACTGTTGGAGATGTGACCTTTATGTACTGTGGGATCAGACTTGTTCAACTTGGTGTGAGAGACAGGTGCCATATTGACATTAAGGTTATAGTTGTAAACAGGAAGCTACTGAGGTATGACTTGTTGCCTGGGGTTGACACTATCAAGAGGCTGAGTGGTGTGTGTGTGTGACTGGCAGTGGCACTGTGAGTTTTTCTCAACTTGACTGACCTTTGTGCACAACCAACACTATCAATGAGCACAACTTTAATGCAGAATATGACCTGAACAGAAAGATCTGGTTTGTATTGTGGAAGTGAGCTGGTGATCAAACACCACCGCTGCTGAAAAACCAGATACTGGAGTATCCCGCACCAAAGTAGCTCAGGGAGTACACTTATGAACTGCAAACCTGGGTAGACAACAGTTGGCTACTTCCATACCCTGAAGAGGAGCTTGGATCCCCAAAGGGCCTAATCCCACTGATGGCTGTACTACAAGAACACAAGCAGAAGGTTCACCCCATTATAGATTATCAGGAACTCAATCAATATGTTGATGCACACACAGCTAATGCAGTTTACATGCAAAAAGTGAGAGCACAGCGACAGGAAGGGTCAGACGTCACCATGTTGGATCTGCACATCCAAAGGGCCACATCCTCAAATATTGACGACATATTTGTTAATGAGAGTGTGTGTTCTGTGGCCTGCATAAGAGCACATCTGGAACAATTCAGACTGACTAATAGAATCTGGAGAAGCTAAAAGATGGCACCTGCATGCTGGCTACGTCTAGTACACAAGAACAAGCACATTAACTCAGTGGAGCTCAACGTTGAGAGCATCAACCTGGCATTGCAGTGGGAGGTAACTGTTGATGTTGGTGTACATCACTGAATTTTTGATACTCTGTCTGGAAAAATGAGAGTGCACACAAAGGTGGCATCAGAGATGTTAATAAGACATCGGCTCGGCACACTCCAGGAATTGGCTACAGAATATGGGCTAACAATTGACATGGGACTTGTCAGATCTCATAAGAACCAGGCCGATCAACTCACCAGAGTGCCTCAATAATGTCTAGATGCACTTTAAAGAGAAACAAAACCAGTGTGTCTGTGTCTGTAGAACAGCAGGAATCCACTTGTATATAAACCATCCATTAACAAAATTGACATCCCTGAATGAAGTGCACATTATATTTTGCAAAATAGGTCAGCCTTGAAGTCTTGAAAGAGCAGTTCGGGCAGTGTCAGAGACTGCAATCTATAGACCCAGAACCAGTACATGGTGAAGTTGGAAAGCTGGATGTTCATGACAATTGGAGCAGGGCGGAAATGGATATGAGCCATTATGGAGACAGGCATTATCTGACCCTGATAGACTGTGGCCCTAGTCATCCACTGAGTAGGCGATGTGGCATGGATAAAGGCCTCACATGGTCAATGCATGATGCAACTTAAGAAAGGGAAAGTGACAGGCATCTACTGCCCACAATCAGTCTTTGTCAATGGAATACCACGCCACATCAAAGATCTTTGCACTCATCATGGATTTATTTCCACAAAAGATGACAGTAGTGATATGTTATCTGAGTGCAATTAAGGTATGCTGCTGCTTTTTAGAGTCAGATGATTCACCTGCAGAACCAGAAAAAATAGCAGAGTCGGAAGACAATGATGATGATGCCAAGAACAAGAGGAAACCTTTGGACACAAATGGAGAGGTCGACAAACACCATCCAACTTTACAAAAAAGCATGCATCGAAGGATACCATCATCTCCCTGTCACTTATGCGGTTATGAGATCAGGGAGGAATGTAAAAGGGAAACCGGCTTACCTTATGTCTTGCATGCAAAATATGTGACAGAAAATACAGCAGATCTAAAAAGAACAACTCATTTTTGGAGCTTAGGGATTTTGTGAGAGTAGTGAAGAACGCTAGGGAGAACATTGATAAGATGCTGATGAGTTGAGTGGTTGTGCCTTGTGTGTGAAGTTTCACATTAGTCTCACTGATTGTGATTTGTAAACTAAACTACGAGAAAAATATGTGGCTTGCCTGGAAAACCGTTGTCACTCAAGATTAACCCCCACTAAGGATTTTTGCAAGTCTCTCAAATTTAAACTACAGGTCTGAAAAGACAAGCCCATTGTGTAGCACTACTGGGAAGCAAAAACCATATCATGATCACAGGTTAACCCAAGGGTACTAGCCAGACTGTTTGAAAGCCATCAATGGTCGTGCTAACATGAAATTACAATTCACTATAGAAGAGGCTTACCTACCTAGTGATTATACTCCACACACAGCCAAGAATAAAAAGACTTTGCAAACCCTATTTCCTGAAACCAATGTCGTTTAATACGTTTTTTTGTTCCTCCTTTTACCTGCTTATTTCACAAAAATGTTGCTGATACACAATTATGAGACAATGCATAATTTATTTTTTACTACCATATTCTTGAAGAAGCATGTTTTCTATGAATTTTAACTTTTATTTCCTATCATGAAACGAGAGTAATTTCAGTATTTCCTTATCCTTGTTGACTTTCTGTCTCTTAGAAAGACCAGCTGATACACCCCTTTAGTGCTATGGGGCATCTGTGCCAAAGTTCAACCCCCATGCTAATTGTGTGATTTTCCTCTTTTCTTTTCTGCTACAGTTGATAACAATTTGATTTTACCATGGACTAACAATTAGCAAGCTAGTCTCACAGATTCTCACTTGGTGTCTCATGCCTTTGCCCCGTTACTAGACGAGGATGAGTTATATACGCCCTCCTTTGTCATGGAGATTCAGTTGAGAAATTGATATTTTTTAATGGGAAGAGTTATGTCCTCTTATTTCTGAACGATTGTCGTCCTCTAGTCATTAAAAAAGTTTTTTTTGAGCTACAAAATTTTGGGTTATTTACGGACAGTTCTTCCTTTCATCTCTAGTGTTAAAAGGAAATTGATAATCTTAAAAATAATCTGCTGTTAATAATTGAGAAGCGATTCAAACACTAAGAGATTTTTAAAATACCATTTTTTTTTTATTTCACTCCTCCATACACCGACGTTTGTTGAATAAAATCAATCATAAAAATGTCGAAATCAAAACACTATTGAATTAGGTTTTAAAATTCAAAATAATTACATAGAATATACATCTTTACTTTCTTTAACTTATTGTCATTTACAAGGGTCAAATATTTTTGTATGCTAATAATTAAAATAAAAAATAATAAACAATTAAAAACTAAAAACCACCAACAAATGTCAAGCTCCTCCCCAACTCAGGAGAGTATAAAAAAAAAACAAAAAAAATTTACACTTGCTTGGTGTTTTTTAGTTTAAAATAAATCAAGTAAGCTTAGTACAGGATCAAATGAGTCTGAAAAAATGACTAGGAAGATTGTGCTGCGTCAATTTTCCAAACGTAAGAGAGCCCGTTTATCTTAAAAGCTAAATCATTCATTTCCCTGAATTCGAACACAGTGCAAAAAAAAAAAGCCGGGACGAGGCTTTATCGTAAGCTAAAAACTTTTCGTCCCTGCTTGTTTTTTGTTCTGTTTTTGGGTCATAAATCTGCTCAGCTTATGACAAAAAATATTGACGAAGACGGAATTAGGAAGATTGTATTGCGCCAAACCAAATAGAAAGAAGTTGCATGCTTAAAAAAAAGAATAATATTCTTTTTTTTTCCGGAAAAAGTCAGGATTTGTAATAACATAATCCTGACTTTTGTCCGAAATCGACAACTGCTGACACCAATGAGTTCTTCTTTGCATCTCCATTATTGTCCACGAAACTTCTTTCACCTTCCTTTTTAAAGGCTTAAGAAATTGTTATTATTATTCAAATTGTTTGGGGGGAAAAATTAAGGCTTCTACTAACTAAAAGGCCATTACTTACCTCTTACAAGTGACAAAATAACATTATTAATAATCGTATCTGTCAAAAATAAAAATGGCTCAACATAGTTTTTTGTTTGTTTAAACAAATGTGATGAATGCGATTGTTTTGTTAATGTTTTCTGTTATACCCGGTGCAAAGGGGAAAATAGTTCCTTATTTATAATCGACAAATAGTTTAATTGATTATTTGTTGTGCGAGTGAGCAGATTACTTAGGTACTTACGAAGGAATCTAATAATTAGAAAGGTCGGAATTTTTTCTCAATATGCAACAAGCAGCGGATCTTAATAAAAAAAGAGGGTCGGAAAATCATTTAAAGGGCAAAATTGATAAACGGAGTGATAAGCTCGTAGTTGGAATATTTCCTCTCCCCGCACAAAAAATTAAAACGCTCCCCTTCTTACACACTAAAAGAGAGCAGTAAAGAAAAATCCAACAAATAAAGCAGTAGAAAAATATTAGCTACACTGAGCAGAGAATGCATTTTAGTTTCATTTGAAATCTCTACTGATTACAAGTGTCATCAACAATGGAACCTAAAAACTTTTAAAAGTTCTGTTTATTTATGCATACATAAAGAAAGGTAGGTTTTATTGAAGAGAAAAAAAAACCGTTGATAGGAGTTATCTACCTTGAGTTAAGTAAACACCTACAGAGGGCACTCGTAAAGTTTTAAAATGGCGACTTCCAAAGATAACATGGTTGATTCAAACTGCACGAGTGAAGAAGACTATAAACGGTTTATAGACGAGAAAAACAAGACAGTTAAAGAATTGTATAACAACATTCCCCCAGGAAAGAGAAAATCCGGGAAATTTTGGAAGAACCAACGAAATAGGTATATTGTGCTAAATTTTATGTAGACCTAAAAAAAAAAAAAAAAGAATTCACGTGTGTGTATCGGTATTTTTATGTGAAATCTAGAATTTTAGTTTATTTCCACAGACCGTTGTGTATTGTTGTTATCGATTCAGTAGTTTGGTATTCGAGTCTAGGTAAAAAAAAAAAAAGCATAGGTACTGGTTTGTTTCGTGTGTTTAACGGTAAAAAAAACCTATAATTTTTTATGTTAGGTAAAAGAAAATTTCTCTAAAAATAATGAGATAAGAAAACTTTTTTTCCTTTGATCTCTCCTCTTCATAATAAATATTTTGTTGACAATAAAGTTTTTTCTTCTGTGCATTTCTTCCTTTCATGCATCCTCCCTTTTTTAGTCAATTTTTGGAGGTACCTAACTGTTTATTTACATATGGTTCAGAACTTCTTTCTAAGATCAGAGTGTAATATCTGTGCACTATAAAAAAAAACAAAAAAAACATAACGCATTGTATCTTCTACGTTGAATTTCTTATTGAATTTCAGCCGTTGTAAAAGAGAGGATCATTTGAGAATTTACCTAACAAAATTAGTTTGCTGTCTTTTGCAGGATTGCTACAATAAAAAAAGACAAATGCATGAAATCTTCATGGAATGAGAAAATGAAGAAGAGGTTAGAAGCAAAAACAGTCAAAGCTTACGAGAAAGAATTAAAAGAAAAAAGAAATACAGAACTACGGGTAAGTTTTAAAAATCCTAGACAAATATTAACACCTTTTTTTAGCACCAAGGATTTTTTTTTTCTTTGTTTTTTTTTTTTTTCCATCACTGTCATAAAACAAAAGGAATTTTCTGGAGACAAAGTAGCATCGGTGGAAATTATGTATCAGTCATGGCAGTGTAATGCTGACAGTGAGGAAAAGGTGTGAATTTCAAATAAGACATTATGTTGTTTATCACTTAAATAGCAAAATTTTTTTATTTTTCATTTTCATCTTATTCTTCCCTTTTGTAAAGTTTATACACAATTCATTTTGTATTCTGAATAAAATAAAATTGTAATCAGTGATATGGATGTTTCAAGGATGTTACTTTAAAATTATAGAATCTGAGAGATTCCCAGCTTTACTGCTCTTAAAAATAGCAATAACCACTTACTATTTACATTTAATGGCAATATCTTTTAAAATCTAGAAACAAATGCATTAAAACTTTGAATTAAAGAACTAATTGGTAGGAGAGAATGTTCTTTAAATCCCACATCATAAAGAAGCAAGCGCTTTGTAGATTCCCACACTTAATTATTTTTTTTTAAATCCAAGTCAGCTTGGAAATGACTAATGTTATGTAAAACTGTATAAAATGTCAAATGATACCATCATGCATGCACTTTTTTTTTTCCCCTCATATTGAGAGGATTTTTGGTTGTGCTGCTGTAGATATAATATGCACTAATTTACTTTGTACTCGTAATTGAGGCTTAGAAAATTTATAAAGCTTCATATGTAAAATAATTCCATCAGTTTTGATGGGCACTATACTAACAGGGTTTTATCGTTTTTTGGGTTGTTTTTTTTTTGTTTTTGTTTCTTTTTTTTTAAATCAACATGGATTTTGATGAATGATTTATTCTAGCATTTATCTAACTTCATTCAGTAAAAATAAAAAGTCACTTTGTTATGGACCCTAAGTGGTTCCTTAAATTAAGAGACATTAAATCTTGGTTTTGCTGTATAAATATGTGAGTAAATAAAATTCTCCCTTCATTTGTCCCCTAATAATTTAATTCAGTCTTTGGTGAATCCTTCTAAAGTTCAAAACACAATAGAACAGTGGATTTTATATAACAATTATTATGGGAAATACTAAGATATGCATTACTAGCACCAATAAAATACAATCAAAAGTGGACTATACATTTGTAGCAAGAAAATTTTGTTTAAAGTTTCAGTGACACTTTAAATTGCTTCTATGAAATTTATTTCTTTGCTTTTATTATTCATGTCTAGTGTGTTCAGTTAAGATTCAAGCAGAGTTACTGCCCTTGTCTTTTTTCTGTTATTGATGTCAAAACTTATGGCAAATATGAAAATGATATTTTAAATTAGGTTTTCACATGTGAATCTTTAAAAAAAATTTTTCCTTGTTATTATAATCTGCTCGCTCTTTGAGAGATTCTTTTCACTGTAAAATTTCTTTGAACAGTCCACTTTTGCCTTGGCAAAGCCACTGCTACCTGGCGTTGCCAATGCAAAGCAAGTAACTCTTGTTCAACAAAGTTACAGACAAAACATACGCGTAATATATTAAAAGGAATATGAATGAACACTATTACTTGATAGTAATCTTGTACATCGATTTGCTAATGTGCCAGGAACTGTAATAAGATTTACCGATTCCATACTGCTTATTGCTAACAAACTGGAAGAATTATGAGAATTGATCATGGGATCTGCATGAAGAGAAGTGAGGACACACACAATTTGAAAATGTTTAGAACAAGACCATCCAACAGATTGGTCATTGTAACCAATTCCAACTCCTCTTTGCAACAGAAGCATCCAATGAGGAAGAGATGAAGCTTAGAATTCATACCAGATTGGCTGAAAGCCTTCAGACATTCTAGTATCAAAATGTTTCTGAATAAAAATGTGTACAGCAGCCACAATACATTTTTTTTTAGCAAAAAATCCTGTTTGGTTCAGCAAATCTCAACTACCAACTAAGAACCTCAATGACATTTTTATGCTCAACATCATGTGAGAGACAAAAAAGAACAAAGGCAGGAAATATAACTGTCAATTAGTGCATATTGACCTCCTCCTTCAGAAATGTATGATGCCACTGGATAAGTCATGTGGCAAAAATGACAGAAAACAAATGAATTTTGAGGTTAATCAACTGGAAACCTAGAAATTACAAGTGAAACCATCAAAAGATCATGAATAGAACTTCTGGCAACAGCTGAGAAAGAACAATGATTTGGTTCAAAGCTAACACAGATAAATGATGAAGACTTAATGGTTTATATTGTTGTGCGTTTTCGTTTTGTCTTGGGGTTTCTTTCATGTTTTATTGAAATAGGCTTACACTACTTTTCTCCACAATCTTATAAATAGGTTCTTAGTTTTTAAAATACCTAAAATTCAGTCCTTTGTTTTGTCTCTTACTAATTATATTGTTAGGCTTATAGTATGATGATTGTTTTTTTGTTTCCCACACAATAGTTTGAGAACTAATGTCATAACACAACAGTTTTGGGATGGAATATACTGTCCCATAAATAATTGCTGCACTTACATACTACATTTCATACACAAAATGTAGCCACTATCATGTAACAGAAATATATTTTTCCTTTATTTAACATGTATCTACTTTAGGTCTTTATTTAATTAATAGACCATCAACGGTTTGACTCTAATTTCTTTATGACCTGTGAACATTTCCCTTTTTTTTTTCTCTCACTTTTAGGAAAAGAGACTAGAAACTGAAGAACGCCAGAGAAGAAAATCAGAGAATTCCAGGAAGAATGAAGTTGTTCAAAAAGTAAGTAATGTGCTTTGCCCTTTGCACTCTTACCAACAGGGATGTAATGAGCAGTTTGATGATTTTAAATTTGAATGCTTCACTTTAACACAAAATCATAGAAAAAACTTATTGATATATTATCTGTTATTTTCTTAAGACTTCTTAATTACCATTGTGGTTTCTCTACTTGAAGTTTTATTTGCCACGTTTCTTGCTTCCTTATTATTAGATTATGTATTATTGTATTAGATTCTTTTTAAAATCAACAAGTGTTAATGTTTTCTGCTAAAATATTAAGATAACTTAGATGTTTTGGAGTTTGTTTTTCTTTTTTTAATTTTTTATGAAAAATATGAAAATAACTTAATTTTCTCATTTGCAGATTTCAAACCTAAAGAAACTTAAGAAAATGAAGAAGAAAAATCTTCGTAATATTGAAATGCGATGATTATCATCAAGGGATTTTTGTCAATTCTTGTAAATAAATAAAATCATTTTCAGAAAAGAAAACTCTCTTTGTATTTATTCCTCTTTTTTTTTTTCTTTTATTTTACAATCTTCTAAAAAAAAATAATACACAAAAAATAATTTTTGTGTATAAAGTTTTTTTTTTTTCTTTGTTAGGTGATTAAAGTAAGTTTATTGGTAGTTTAAGAGCAATAAAAATTATCTTTAGTTTGGATTTAAGAAGGGAAATTCCTTATTCAAGGATTCTACAGAACTGTATTTTCACCAACAATATACTTTGTTGGTTGCATTTCAATTAGAGGATGACAACAAGTGACTATTGCAAACAATTGTTTGAGAGAAAACAATCCTCACTAAGTTGTGTTAGTGATTAACCAAGTGATTGTTTGTTAATCTATGAAAGTGCTTACCTATGATAATTTGGCACTATGCCTTCTGACCTTTCAAAGATTGATAGCCAAATATTGTCTGCTAATTTTTAGGTAGTTCTGGAGACTGCTTTTTGACCAAGACAATACCTATAACCTCTTTGGATTACCTTTGTTTTTGGCTAAGTGAAAATGGCTAACAAGATAAAAAAATGGACAGAGCTTTTATTCTAAATATAACTGCATAAAGTTTTGGTCACTAATGATAGGGCCATTTATAAAAGTTCAATATTTTCTAAGT